GCTTTGTGATTCGTTTGGTTCTGCAGGCGTTCATTTGATATTCCACCTGGTCACTATATTTTAAGAATTCTACGTAGATATTTGTTGACAAACACTTGCATATTTTTCTCTATATGTCTGGAATATTTCCATGTCTCATAGCCGTAGTACTACTAAGCAGATTTTGGTCTGCTTAGATGAAGGATATCGTGTTTTTAAAATCTTCGATAGTGGTTTAACGAAACTATAATGTTATTTCTTCGTTGTAATAATGTTAGTTAACATTCGAAGCGGATAAGGTATGTAGAAGAAGAAGGTAAATTTTTCTTATAGATATTTTATAATCACCTTGGTTTTGAGAAAATAATCTTGATTAAAAAATATTAAATTTTTGTGTTTTGCTAATTAAATTTTAAATTTTATTATGTTTATTTTTATTGTGCGAAGCAATAAGGCATACACAAAAAAATTTATCAGCTCCTTAATAAGTCCATAAATTAAATGAGTTGAAAGAGAAAAAAACGAAGCAATATATTAAAATTAAGTTGAATGAAGCGTAACAAGCACCTGAAAATGGTAACTATTTTCACAGAGAAATGAACAGCACATGTGCATCCTGTGGACAGAGAAGGACGGTTTTCGAAAAAAAGAAGTCATGTTCGGTGCTGCAGGTGCAGCTGAAGAAAAAATTCAACATTTATTAGAAACAAACGCATTATAATCATGTTAACATAGACGTACATGGTTGGCTCGGCTTCGGGATATGCCAGCCAAAATGTGTACAAGATACCGGCAAAGGTTCAATGAGACGATGAGACGGAGAGACGAAGACTTGGAAAATTGTTTGTTCAATATGATACGCAAGTGAAAAAATATTTTTATTACTTAATTTATTTCTTGGCTTTTAAATAGAAAACAAATTTACTTGTACAAAATCGCATGCAGCGTGACTTCGAGAAGTTTCCAATATGTTTATTTACGTACTAAAATCCAGCAATTCTGCAAAAAAAGTAATATCTTCTTGCCTCGATATGCTATTTTGGGTGCATGCGAGAATAACATAACATAAAAATATTAGACAATAAAAATGTGCTCATAATATATTAAAACAGTTTATAATATCTGCAGAAAACAAAATACCATACATTCCGTTTATGGCTCTACTAAAATACGCACATGATAGAAAAGTATCTTTAACCCGGCAAGAGTTAAGCATTCAACTCTTCTATTAGTCACACCAAAATGTATTCAACTATTAAGCAAATATTGAACTTTTTTTCGGAATGCAGTAGATTTTACCAAAACAATTTTCAAATTAGTTTCTATGTATGTAAGATACTTTACACTCCATTTTTAAGACCTGTGGTCTTAATGTGTATTACGGTTCCTGCTAGTACTGAAAACAAAGCAACTTTGCTGGTATTGTTTTCAAAGGATTGTAAATAAATAATAAAAATTTTTTTGAAAACATTAAAATCAAAGTATTATTTAAATAATGGAATATGAATATATATATAATATAGTCATATTCTATGTACTCATTTTTTTATGAGTTTGTTAATTTAAATATTTTTAAGCGATAGTATTTGACTCTCCAACACAAAACTGAATCTTTATATTTCCAGTAAGGTTGATATATACACGATATTGATCTATATTGATATTGATATTAGTCAATAGCATATAACATATTTTAAAGAAACGTACTTAAATTTATTTTGGTTTTCTAGACCCAGAAGTCTGCAAGAAAAAGAGATAAATATTAAATTAGAGAGGGATTAGAGCTGAGGGATTAATTGTCATTGAACAATTAAATTGTTATATACATGTAAAAGACAAGCTCCAATTAATATACACAATTTAAAAGACTTTACTAAGGTTAATAATTAGAAGTATAGAATTTAATATACACAATCCAAAAGACTTTATCTAGGTTAATAATTACAAGTACATAATTTAATATTCCCGATCGTACTATTTAACTGCCGACTGCTGCCTTAACTACTACTTAGAAATAAAATGATATCAGATGATAAAAATACAAACACAATGTTAACTACTACCACCTAATCTAATCTAATCAAGCTAATCTATAAAATAATTTTCTAGTAATTTAAATAAAAGCAGCACAGCCACGTCTAAGTGTTGAGGCAATGGTGCTTTGAAATTCCATTTACTTCTAACTAACTAGGTTACAGAGAGCAGATGCAATAGTAGGTCTAATAGACCTACTACTATTTGTCCTAAACTAGTACTGTTAGAGACTCGGAGATCTATAAGTGCCGAACTGATGCTAACTAGTTCAGTTCACCTGCCTCGTGAACTTACTGCGTCTTTAATTAACTGTTGGCACCATTCACGGTTATGGCATATCACTCATGCTCAAGAAGTGATATTGTCGTCTTAGTGGTGACATGATATTTCTATGACTTAGCGATTAAAATTAGTTTTAATGAATCGTTTTAAATTTTTAAAGAAAATGTGAGATAAAACAGTTTTCTACTTACTGGAAGAGATTAAAAATTTACTTTTAGTTGATGTGCGCGTAAAAAGTAACTATAAATATACTTTAGATGTTACATTCTCTATAGCGCCTATTCGTTCCTTTAATAAAATTCAACCATCTTCTTTTCATTTGTAGCGTCTTACTATAATATCGGTATATCACTTATCTCTTGCATTACATCTAATTCTTCTTATAAATGTAATGATTAATTATAGATGTGCTTAGGTTATCATCACAATTTTTTTCGTTGTCAATTTTCATCATAAAAAGAATTTAATGCTTAATCAGTAATAAAAAATATGCGTAGAATATCACAGCTCCTCTTCTGAGCCAATTCTCTCCTTGCATGGAATTCAATAATGAGTAACTCTAAAAAGGTGCACTAATCCTAATTTTGATTCATAAATAGTACTTAACAAATTTCTATTTATCTAATTCTATCAATAGACTTCTTATTCACGAGTAGCGAGTAAATATAAGTAAATATATAAGTAAATATAGGTAAGTCACTAATCTGTTGCTTTCTTTTTCACTCTGATTTATTTCATAAATTCTCTTCACATCTAATAAGTTAGTCTAGCCGTGGAATATTACTTATTCTTTCATGCGCCAATTCAATCCATGACTCGACTAATTTCTATTTTCATATACCGAATATTCATCACTGTTCTTTTTCATTATCCTTTTTGCCAATTCTTCCAAATTTCTATTAATCTATTTCTATCTATCCATTAATCTATTTCCATCTATCTATTTTGTGTCAATAAGTACGCTTAAGTCATCGCTAATTTCTTGTATTCTTTATTCATTCCAATGGAATGGTAAGGAGTAACTATAATATGAGCTCGCTCAGGACATTTCTTATTTCGCGCATCCTTTCTTATGCTAATCTTTTTCATTAATGGAGCTTAACATATTTCTATTATTTGAGCTTATGATAATTTCTTTCTATCAATTGGAAAAACATTCTACTTCTTTTCAAAACATTAGGATTATGTTAAGCTAGTTATTAATGATAATCACATATAATTTATACAGTATTAGTTTAACATAATACAATAATAGAGGAATCTATTGGAGGTATCTATTCAAGTTGTGGTCTATCGATTTGAAATTATTTAAGTTCATTTAATTAATTTGTTAGCACCAATTAAAGAGAATATATTAATCATGTTTAAAAGAATTTCTATATAAAACTTATAAAATTGAAATAAATTAAATGGAAGAACATAAATTTAATTTGTCACATCCTTACAATAATGACGTGTGCTAAAAAGTGTCACTTAAAGTGTAAGCCGACAACTCACGAATTGACCTTAAACATTAATAACTCGTAAAATTCTAACCGAAACTTTTGGCGGTGTTTTAATATCGGAGCATTTCGTACGTTGTTTTCCCCGGCGCTACGTACACCTGCCACAATAGTAAAAATCTTCCATTGTTAGCCACCTTCACAAAATGTTCAAATGTTCAAATGTTCAAAGATAAAGAACGGAAGTGCCAAGTGCCACATGCACACAATCATTTAAATGCCATTTTCGGAATAAATTGCCGTCTGACATGGAATGCCGCTAATCAAAATCCCCAAAATATTGGTGAGCAATGTTAGCACACGTCGACGAGCGAGCAGTTGCCTAAAATCACAATGTTCAAGCCACAAGCATAGCACATACGAGTGAGTATTCCGGCATTTACACGATAGAGCATGTATGTAAATTTACACAGGTTTATGCAGTGCCAGGGTTAGAGCTGCGTATCCACACACATCCGCACCTCTCGTACCGACATGCATGGAGACGTGCTTAGTTACAAACGAAGTTATAAAAAAAAACAACTAAAATAAAAAAAAAAAAAAACAGAGCAATTAAACGTTTGAAAATCTATGAATGTATCTAACAAAACATGTATGTTATATGGATTATAAAACTACTCGCGTACATAAAAGCAGATACAGATGGGCCGTTAGAGACGAATACCAAAGTTGGTGCGATGGTGTTGGAGAGCTGATGCTCGCATTAACCACTGACAGTGTGAGATGTGATATATTCACTCTATGCCAGTTTCAGAACGTATTCATGTGTTCATGTGTATGTATGTGTGTGTGTTTGTGATTACATTAAGTAAAGCGATTTTTGACCGCCTATGGTTATACTAATAGTATGAGACATCGTGCCCAATGTGATTTCACCAGTTAACTGTGACCAAAATTGTAATTTAAAAGAGTTTCGCTTTGATGGGGAAATTATCGAACGCCAAAGATATGTACATATCGGTTTAGGGAAAAACGGTTTTATTTTCTCATTAAATAATTGTGCGATTGTGTGAGGCAGGTGTGACGCCAGTCAATGGCTCAATCGGCTTTGGGGTGAGACTAATAATTGACAGCGTTTACAATCAATTTTAAGTAGTTGGTCTACAGCTTAGCATATATTATATGAAACTATGTGTATACATTTTGTTAAAGGTGTTTTTTATTACTCAACGAGATTAACAAAATTATTTTTTTACTTTTCAGCCTGTTAGCTGTCTGAAGTCAATTCATCTGCTCAGCGTGTTGCGCCTACCTAAACATTAGTAGACGAAAAATATTAGAAGTCATTCGCTTTCAGTTTACGACTACACACATTAGCCAAAATGTTGCAATACTTTGGAGCATTTTTAATCTCAATTCTCTTCCTTCAAGGTAAGTACTAATAATGATAAGGATATAATTTTAGAAAAAATTTTAAATTTAATAAAAATATTTACAAGGTTTTTAATTGTTAAAATTTAAAGTTTTAGATATTCAATTGGTAAAATTAACCTTTGAAATATATATCACATATTTAGCTTTTAATTTTCAGTAGTTCCTGAAACTATTACGAATGTATTGGATTTCATTTTACTCTCATATTTCGATAATATTCTGGTAATATGTGGATAAACAAATTGAACTTGTTTTAGGCAAAATGGGTTTAAATTTTGATTTCAAGTTTGTGGATTATAAAGAATAATGATTATCGCTAAGAATAGTGAATTTGTTGCTTACAGTATGCCACCCCATAACGAGTACATATAGGACAGTTTAATATATATAATACGATAACATGATTATAATTTTGTTAATATAATGCAACAAAAAGAGGATCGGTAATACATTTACATTTCTTGGGAAAAAAAATTTATTTTTGAACGTAAGGTACTAAGTCTGATTATTAGAGAAAAAGTAATTTTATATATAATAAACAAATTAATTAGCTAGGCCTATTACATATACATACATGTATATGTGTTTAACTTAAATTAGTTGCTTACCAATGATTTATATATATCTAACACGGAAAGCATCTACTTTGTTATAGGGGGTCTTTCGTATTAACTGCCATCGAAAAATAAAAAAAAAGTATTCACTTTCAATAGATCCAATATTACATATATATTCCTGAAAACTGAAATAAATATAGATTCCTAGAAAAAAAATTATTTCTAATCAACGAAGTTCACAATTAAATTATTTATATTCAAATATTATTAAATTTATCACTTTAACTATAGTCTGAAGCACACAAATTTCAGACTATATTCTATTTAATCGACTCAATCAAAATTTTAGACTACTTTGTCAGTACTCTAACCACTGATATAGGTTTAATTTTAGCTAAGTCTACTTAAAATGTCAATATCAAAATGTTTTAAGGAAATATTTTACATAAGGGAATATACATACTATTTAGAGGAATATTAAACATTTTGGTGATAAGTTTATGAACGGAAACATACCTTTAATTGATATTCTTTGATATATAAATATCCTAAATTGTAAAAGTTTAAAGTTTTTATACTCATATTGCAAGAGATGGTTATTTATAGGAATATTAAAGATTTTTCAAGCATGCTGATTTATTGGATTCTTTCTACTATATAACAAAAACATATAGTAAATTACAAGACTCCAAAGATTTTATGTGACGAAATATTATTTATAACAATATTATAGGTTTTGCAGATAAGTTTATGGATTGGAAGAAAGCTTTATACCTTAATACTCTTCGATATACACATATGTCCAAGTGTAACATTCAAAACTTTTTAAAACAGGTTTGTAAAGAAATATGATGTATATGAATGTTATAGGTTTCACAGATAAGTTTACACACTTGAATTTAACTGATTGTTTGCGATATATATATATTGCTTAGGAATATTATACATTGTACAAATAAGTTTACTTTCCTGAAGACAATTTTATGTAATTCTCTTTGATATATGTACATATATAAAAGCGTTAAAATCATAATAGATAGGAATAATGCAGATGAATTTTCTTTAAAGGAATATTTCAGATTTTGGAAATAAGCTTACTTGTGGAAAGATGCCTTTATTCGATTCTCTTTGATATATACATATATCGAACTGTAGGACTCAATAGTATTTGTAAGAAATTTGCAAAGCTTCTTACTATACTATAGATTTCGTGGTTAAGCTTCTTTTCTCGATGATTTCTTTATCTGATCCACTTCTAAATATATGCATATATCAAAATGTAAGAATCAAATCATTTTACAAGAATATTGTGTGCGAATCAAATGTCTGTGAATATTATAGATTTCTCAGATAAACTTGCTAACTTGAATTTATTTGATTCTCTTCGATTTACACATTATCAGGGTCAAAATGAAAACTTTTTATAGGAGAATTGTGTAGGTATATAAGAATTAGAATTTTAAGAATATTATATTATATTATATATAATAGTACATCATACATTACATTATTATACAAATAAGTTTACTTTCTTGAAGATTAATTTATACGATAGTCTCTCATTATACACATAGGTACATCAGAGTGTAAGAATCAAAACGATTTATAGAAATACTTTGAAGGAATATAGCGTATATGAATATTATCAACTTCACAGATAAGATTACTTCCTTGAACATAATTTTATATGATCGTCTTCGTTATGCACATACATTAAAGTGTTAGAATCAAAAGTAAGGATATACTTTTAATATACTTATTATAAGTTTAAACATAAAAGAAAATGAGATTACTACATTTGTAATTGTTATTTTATTATGTCCAATAAATCCTAAATTATAAACTTAACTTACCTTATGAGGAGGATAATAGTTTAACATATCCTGAGCATTGGCTGCAATGTGCAAACGAAATGTTAACAGTTTTATCGCGTACTTATTATCCTTAATATTGAATTGTATTTTCTTACTCTTTTGGCTACGTCTTTCAATTATCCCTTTTTATGGTTGATAATATTACAATGAGCATACTCGGACTTGTACATAATTTTTTATTTTCATTTTATTATGTTTTTCTTACTCTTTACTATTATTATGCTTTCTTTTATTTTATTGCTTTTTCACTTGGCTCCTGAGGACTCAGGAACGTGTACAGGAACACGAACAAGAAAGAACATCAACCTGAGCTTAAATGTATGCGAATAGCAAGTTGCATTCCTGCCAGTTGCTAGTTGCTAGTTGCCAGTTGCTAGTTGCCAGTTGCTAGTTGCCAGTTGCCAGTTTCCAGTTGCCGGTGTTAATGTGCGCACAGCTTTAGGTGTTGATTTTAATCTTTGCAGATAAGGTAATACAACTGCTACTTATTTGCTATGAAACGTAATGGTGTATGGCAGTGTTCCGCTCCGCAGTTTTTTAATGAAACAAATACAACAAAAAAAATATACAATTTACTTGCGACGAGTACGTATACCGGGTCCGGGTCCGGGTAACAAATACTCGTTCTGGCAATGTACTGCCATAGCATGCCCTATGGGGGCGATAATGAAAATAAACTGCAATTTGCAAATGCATTAAGTAAAACAAAAACATTGAAAATACACAACAAAAAACAAAATTAAAAAACAAAAAAAAAACAAAAAATTATTAAAAGCAGTAAACTAAAACTGTAAACTAACTGAAAAAAAAGTATTAAAATAAAACAATACAAAACAAAATAATTTTTAATTAAAGCAAATATTTATTTTTGTTAAATTGTTTCAGTGTGTTGTTGTTGTTGTTGCAGCTGCTATAACTATAACTGTTGAAAAGTCTTCTTCTTCTTCTTCTTCTGCTGCTTTTTTCGAAATGCATATTGTGAATTAATTTTGCAGAAGAGAAGCAGAAAGCAGAAATTTCTTCCGCTTCAATAGGAACTAAAACTGCAAGTAGAACAAAGTTTCTTTCCAACTCTCGACCAAAAGAAATGCTACGACAAACAAAACATTTTTCTTTATATAAATAAATAATCAAAAATGTCATATGTCGTACGCATTTAGTTAGTTTTACCTTAACATCCTCTTTCCTGACTCAGCAGCAGCTCCTGCCATAAAAGCAACAATAGTGCCGGAAAATGTATTGTCCATATTATTTCATGCAACGTCAATCCCAGATTCCACGCTTTGTTACAATTGTCCTTAGAAGAACTTAAAAATTCTTTCATGTCGAATCACTCTAACTTAAGCACACAAAAAGACTTAGACTAAGATTCAGATTCAGATTCAGATTTAGCAGGTGAGTAAGTATTCACAAAATAGTTAAGTACATTCAGCGTTACTCGCAACTGAAACTGAAATTGATACAGAAACTGGGATGATTCTAATAAAAATCAGAATTCTCTGTTTTCTGTTTTCTGTTTTTTTTCTTTTTTCAAGAAATTATCTATAAACTTATACGGTAATATGTCAAGCTTAGTTCTCACACAGAAAAGAAAGTAATAGAGATAAGTTACTAGAAAGTATTAGAAAACTGACTATTTGCTAAGCTAAAGCTTAAAATGTAGAAAGTTTTAGAATATTATCTTGTAAGAGAAGGATGATATCAATTCGGATAGATGATTATTTCGTAGGATTATTTTGGAATATTTACAATAAAATATAATGAAAAAATTATATAAAGTCTAGTACAATAAACTACAGATAAGTTATGCCATTTGTTGCATAAGAGTTCCCATTCCCCTCTGCTGCGATTAGGAATTAAAAAATTTTTTTTTCAAATAAAATAAGTAAAATCTTATTTAAATTAAAATAAAATTAAATAAAGTAAAATAAAATAATATAAAATAAATAAAATCTTATTGAAATTGAAATAAAACTGAATAAAATAAAATAAAACTAGATTAAATTAAATAATATAAAAAAAACCTTATTAAAATTAAAATAAACTTAAGATAATAAAATAAAATAAAATAAAATAAAATAAAATAAAATAAAATAAAATAAAATAAAATAAAATAAAATAAAATAAAATAAATTAATAAAATAAAAAATAAAATAAAATAAAATAAAATAAAATAAAATAAAATAAAATAAAATAAAATAAAATAAAATAAAATAAAATTCGATAAAGTAAACTAAAATAAAATAAAATAAAATAAAATAAAATAAAATAAAATAAAATGAAATAGAATAAAATAGAATAAAATAAAATACAATAAAATATAAATAAAATAATAAAATATAAATAATATAAAATATAAATAAAATATAAAAAATATAAAATGTAAATAATATAAAATATAAATAAAATAAAATACAATAAAATAAAATAAAATAAAATACAATAAAATGAAATAAAATAAAATACAATAAAAGAAAATAAAAATGAAATGAAATAAAATAAAACAAAATAAAATAAAATAAAATAAAATAAAATAAAATAAAATACAATAAAATACAACAAAATA